TCCTGATCAGTGGCTAGGTTTGTTGCATATTGTTGCATCAATATATACAAACTAAAAAGCTAATAACTTGGCAATGTGCTTAAAAAATGCCCCATTGTCTAAAACGTATTTTATGTTTTCCTTTTAATGTCACAGTGTTATTGACGAATGCGTTAAGTTTGTTAATCGTGTGTGCACCACTGCCAACGCAGTAACAGATATATTTGTTTAATAACAAAATAAATATGAATGTGAATCCCTGCAGTCACGAAAGCTTTAAATCAAAACTAAATGAATGATGAAGTTCAACCCTTTCTCAATCCACTGCTGGATAATAATCATGCAAGGGACCTGTTGAATCCTTAGGTTAGTGTTCACGCTAAATGCTCAGACATATAAAACGACGTCTAGCTTTAATTTAAACACAACATGATAACGAATTTCGATTTAAAGCTTTCGTGACTGCAAGGATTCATCTTCTTTGGTTCTTTCGGTAAAGTCACGTAGAATGAGAATAAAATAATAAATTAATAAAATAAAATAACACAATTAAATTCTCACGACGTTTCAGCCACAACACAAGTGGCCTTCTTCAGGTGAAAGGAACAGACCTGTCAGGACGACAGAAACGTCGTGAGAATTTTATTGTGTTATTTTATTTTATGAATTTATTATTTTATTCTCATTCTACGTGACTTTACCGAAAGAACCAAAGAAGATGATAACGAATGCCTTTACTTTCAATCAATCGATCAAAATTAATGTAATCGCGTATCGTTTCGCTGCGACCCGGTGTTGAACTCGTGCTTCGATGGGGGCATGGACCAAACTTATCGATTGGCCCACATTCGATTACAGTGCCGTAGTGCATTGTGAACTTTCAAACCCGTAGTTTAATTTGCTTGACGTTGGACCAGAGTTGTGAATTAATAGAAATTCAGTCGTTAATTGATAACAATTTCTATTCTTGGTTCTTTCGGAAAAGTCACGTGGAATGATAACAATTTGTTACATTTCGATGTAAAGCTTTCGTGACTGCAGGGATTAATCTTCTTGGTTATTTCGGTAAAGTCACGTAGAATGAGAATAAAATAATGCAAATAAAGCATAATAAAATATAATTCTCAGTGTTCACTCAAGCTCTGTCTTCTGAACAGACCTGTGTTTCTTCACCTGAAGGCTACTTGTGTTGTGGCCGAAACGTCGTGAGAATTTAATTTTATTGTTTTGTTTTTTATTATTTTATTTCCATTCTACGTGACTTTACCGAAAGAACCAAGAAGATGAATTTGTTACATACTGTACATGTTTTAATGCGCAAAAAAAAAAACCCCTTTCAATTGCGCATTTTTTTGTTTGTTTGACTGCGGAACGGCCGTGGCGTGTTAATTGATGCAGAGTAAATTGGAAGGCTTGCACGCAGCGCTGCAATGCTGCATGACAGCAAATAGGTCCCCGACTCGGCCTGCAGTGTTGAGACACAAGCAGGAGAGTAAATCAGGTTTGTAGTCGTGTTACGTGGCCATCGATTGATCGATTAAAGATGAGATTATTACGATCATGGTGTGCGCGTGCGTTGAATGGTGCGTTGCACGAGTCGAGCTATGCTAATTGTAGATTACACGCTGCTGTTGTTACACATCCACCATGGTGATCAGAGGAGCGTTACAAAGCAAATGTCATGGGCACCGGTACAAGGGCTAAAGACCAAGGAAGGCAATGAAATGAACGTTTACAAGAGAAATCACACACGAGAGACACACGTTGTGGACGAGAGAGTGCCCAATGCAGACGAGGCAAGACATGAGCCAATGCAGACTTTGTACACAAGACGGGCAATACAAGCGAACAAATTACGACAATTAAATAGACAAACATTGTGAGCGGTACGTGCATTGCAAACGATACAGATAGCAACGAACGTGGCGTGCATTACACACGATAGAGTACTAGGCATACATACGAGACGGACAATAACAAACAAGGCAGACAAAACACACAAGGCAGACAATCCAAAGCAGACAATACGAATAGTGCATGCATTACAAAGGAGACATTACAGAGGAGAGACGTAATTACGAACGAGAGAGAGAACAAGCGAGACAGAACATATGAGACGTGGCGATAGGGACACGAGAGAGAGCAGATGACACGTGCGATTAACACGCGATTTCGACGAAACTGACAATACAAACGAGACTACAAATCAAAGACAATGCAGATAAGACGGACAGAGCGTACAAGACAATACAAACGAAACGTTTACATACGGGCCATGACAACCTCATAGAGACAGTCCTCTTGTGGATGTGGTGGTGGTGGTGGTGGTAAAAAAATCGTGACATGCTGACCAGGGCTGGGATCATTTTTACAGCACTGCAACATTATAGTAACTTACAATTGGAGTCATCCACATATCAAGATCGCCATTAGCTTTTACTTTCATAAGGCCCTTGCCAATCGCCAACATTCCACATTCCCATGGCGGAGGAGCAGTATCGCCCCGGGTAATCGTTGATATCCTTCCAGCAAGTGGTGCGTTCTCAACCATATGCTACTCATTTTTAACCAACTCGCCCCCCCCCCCCCCCGAGATGGTTGGTGATTGTGATAATGATGGACTCGTCCATCTGAATAACTGCCAAATCGCTCTCCGTGGTGCTAACGTTAAAAAAACGCCACTTTTTTCAAAAATGTTCTTGCTGTGGTTTTCATCCCTGATGATGATTGCTTGTGTTGCAGTCGAAACGTCGTGATAATTTTATTGTTTTATATTTTTATTATTTTATTGTTTCCCTTCTACGTGGTGACTTTACCAAAAGAACCAAGAATATGAATCCCTGCAGTCACGAAAGCTTTAAATCAAAATTTAATGATGAGGTTGTAACATTGACCGGGATTTGAACGTTGGCTTAGTTCTGTTGATCTGCCCGCTGAGCTATATCCCAACCGATGACCTTCAACACTTATTTAACAGACAGGTCTGTCACTGCGAGCTTATACTGGTAGGAAACGTAGTGGACTGGAAGCCCAACCGGGATTAATTCACAGGAGGCAGGGGATTAATTGTGTATGTATGTGGATGTCTGTCCACGTGTATCCGGACACCCGGATAAATTGGGAGGGGTGGGGCTGGGTGGAGAGGGGAGGGTGGGGAGGGGCTGGGTGGGGAGGGGAGGGTGGGGAGGGGCTGGGTGGGGAGGGTGGGGAGGGGCTGGGTGGGGAGGGTGGGGCTGGGTGGGGGGTGGGGAGGGGCTGGTCACCCCGTGGTGCCCTTATAAAACTCAACGTTTAACCTACTCACGCCGGCTTGTGCCCGCCCTCACAGTCGGGCATATTTGCGGAACACACCACGTGGTGCCGCCGTTGTTGACCCTGACCATTGACCGAGCAACCCAACGTTCCTACCAGCTCCCTCCGCAGGAATGTGTTTCGAATTATGTAACAAAAAATATGTTCGACGAATAATAATAGACATTTATAAATCAGTTTCAGTAAGTAGTTATGGTTGACATTGGATTTTTGTAAACAGCGAGGCATATTCTGGGATCTATTACGGGTCTTGGCATTATTAATTTCTGCAATATGCAGTGTTTGTGAGAATTAATTTAAATAACAATTACTGGGTATTACATGTTTCGCCATCGCCTACTTAAAATTGTTACGTCTCTGCCAGGCAAATAATTTAGTTCATGCGTTATAACTGTTTGGGATCAGATTCAAATTTTGATCCGAGTTAATTTTAAAGTTAAATTTGGGGAAATGGCCACCGTGTTTACGTTAAATAAATATTTCTTTAAATCAAGATTATTTCCCTCCATAAGTTGTTATCCAAACCGTAAATAACAAAGGATGGATAAGATAAAGGAAGGCAATTGACGTCAGAAAATGTCCTCCTGGTCATTTCTATACGATTGGGATTTGATCAAAAGTAGTTATAAAGTTAAAAACAGGGGCCTGTGAAGAGTTATCTTGGTGCTTTAAAGTTGTACAAGCTAAAGCAGTGTGGGGGGAAAAACCACACTTGTTTTCAACTGCCCACAATAACTCGAGATTTGCTTTGTAAATTTCATAATCTTTTTAAAATGTTGTATGAACCTTCACACAATTTATGTACAGTAATTAAATATCGCATGGTTTAAATACACTTAATAAAATGTCTGGGTCCAAAGTGTGAGGCAAATATGAAATAAATAATTCAAGATTGTCATCGGATTTTTTACTGTCAACATGTATACAATACGTAATTAAAACTAAAAACTTTTGTTTCATTATTGGAATTTGTTAAATCAGCAATCACTATTTCGTCACGAATCACTCGCAAATATGTAATAACTTAAATATGAACAAAAAATAAATTAATTTCAACGATTTAACTGGTGTCTGTGCTTAACAAATTGGCAATGAACCAGCAATTAGATCATTATTCTGGTTACGTTGCAGTTGCAGCGGTGCACAAGCAGAATTAAGAAACAAAAAACTCCAAACACGTTCGTCAGTAACAATGTGGACATTATAAAAAATATATATAAATAGGCGACGTTTCGGCCCATCACCCATTTTTCATAGCCATTCATATGTGCCCGTGAAAAAGAGCCATTGCCCGAAACGTCATTGTTGTGTGCTGTGAAAAAAAATGGTCATTGCCCGAAATATATATATTTTTCGCGTATTAAGGCCACAATGCAGCGTTATTGACGAATGCGTTCAGCCTCCTGTCTCAATTCAAATGGGGAACTCGGTGGGGACGTTGCTCAGCCCGGCGTCGCCTCGCGCCGTGCGACAAACTACGCGGTGACGTCATTCCAGCAGCTACGCCGGCGTCGCCGTCATGGCAACGCTGAATAGACGTCACCGCGTCTCCTGGGGGGGAGGCAGGGCGGGGGAGGACCCCACCCACCCACCACGCAATCCACCTCAACCCGCACCCCCCCCTCACGCCACTCCCGCCCCGTGTTGCGGTGGCGCGCGCGCGGGCGGGCGTGGGCGCGCGTGAAGTGCGTGCGTGCGCGCGCGCGCGCGGTTCGTTTCCCGCCATTTTTGGCGTGAGGCGGCGCGCGCCGCCCGCGACCATGCTCGCGCTCTACGCCGCGTACATCATGGCGGCGCTTTATGCCCTCCTCAGGTGCGCCTTCCAAGTGCCTTTTACATGCGAGAGAATGCGCACCATTTATTATCGTGATTTATCTCGCGGTTGGGGGGTTTATTTATTTATTATTATATGGTTTCCACATTATCCATTGTGTTGATGACAGGTGTCACGCAGTCGTCAACATTTAAATGGATTGTGATCCATCATCCATTTTTTTGAGAATTTCACTCACCTGAAAAAAAATGATTTGTCTCTCTACCCTCCCCTCCCTATGTGTGTCCGTCACTGCCATGATTCAGACGGGTCATGCTGTTCGAACACTGAAAAGCAATGGCATGATCGTTTTATGTCCATTTGACCGTGTTATTATTACCTGTGCTGTCGTCACCTTTTGACGCGCGCTCGTATAACGACCACCCCATAACCACGTCAGACATTGGCATGAACAACAATGCTGGGGCCGTCAGCAGCATATAACCACCGTTGTTTCCATTTTCATGAAGAGTAATAGCGATTTAAATGTCTTAGGTTGAATCTGGCATAGGTCATTTGGGCTACTTCACGATCACACAACTGTGTCAGTGACAGGTATCGTGACAAGGCTTGCAAATGATGAGGTAACCACCGGCATATATAATTCGAAGAATGTTTAACAATATAAAAAAGGAGGGGTGAACTCCCTGTAACCGATTTTTAAAAAGCAGGGTTTTCATTGTTCTGGGAAGCCTAGATTTACCAGGGCAGTTACCTCAAAATTAGGATGTTACTAGAACAATGAGGACAGGTGGTAACTCTTAATTGCCACCCAATCAGAATAATCTCAGTATATTTTTACATTGTCTTTGTTTTGATTTAAAGTATTCGTGACTGCAGGGATTCATATTCTTGGTTCTTTCGGTAAAGTCACATAGAAGGGAAACAATAAAATAATAAAAATATAAAACAATAAAAAAATATTTTTTATAAAAATAAAAAATATATTGTTTATATTTTTATTATTTTATTGTTTCCCTTCTACGTGACCATACCGAAAGAACCAAGAACATTGTCTTTATTGTCAATTAACACTTAGAACGCTCACTTCATCATTTGCGCATTGTCCACCACCTGCAATCGTTGAGCACCACGTGTTTTCAAAAAGCAGAGTTCCTACCGTTACCAGTGCCTCAAACAACCGCGAACACTTTCTCCAGTTCACTTTATTTCAAAGCACAATTTTATGATCACCATCGTCATACCATGATCGTGATTGATATCCATCAGCACTGCACCATCACCATAATATACATCTTTACAAGTGCACTTCGTCCACCCCATAAAGTGTTGCTTCCGGTCTTGAGGCATTTTTACATATTTTTCTCATCACACATTTGCCATAACAATTGGTGACCACAAATCCAGTTCATTGTCATGAGTGTCAATCATTATCAACATCCCCATCATCCGCCCCGTCTATTGTTGCTTATGGCCTTCGAGTGGGGGCTTTTAGAGCAGAGTAGGAATTATTGACTGATGCGTGCCCTTGGTATATATCTTTTGGTCGAGACAACTGATGGGTGCAAACCAACTGACCAGGTACGTCATTGGCGTGGTGATGGCGGAGGCCGAGCCGTCGCAAGGCGGACCGCCGGTCGCCCCCGCTGGAACCACCAACTGCGACTGCGAGGACCCTTCGCAACCGCAACAAAGCGACGGCGACACCCAGCACTCGCTCTTCACCATCGGCGGCCCCGGCGAGGGCTCGGACGATGATGAGGCATCCAGTTCCGACTTCCAAGCCCTGCCAGACGAGACTGATGGCATGCTCACCCCCACCTCCTCGGGCTCCGGTTCGGACTCTGTTCCTGACTTGGGCTGCGCGCTCTCCCACTCAGTCATCCCCCTGGAAATCAGGTATGGCCCGTGTCTGTGTGATGCTTATTACGTCAATGATGATGCTTGTCATGTCTCTGATGTTTGGCCTGTCTCGCTGATGCTTGCTGTGATGATGAAGTATGGCATTGCAGAACTGCAAGACAGGAAGAAAAGAAATGTAACGATCTGTTGACCATCTGAAGCAATTTTTTTATCAGGCCTCCCCCCCACACCGTGCCAGTTGTGGAGTTTTCTTGACCATACCGCACTACACTGGTCAACGCAAAAAGGCAAGGAGAGGTTAAAATATCACTACTGATATTAGCCAGCTGAACTCCATTCTTGGATTCATAGCACAATGAGCAAACCACTGCGCCACAACTCTGTCGCTCCGTCTACATTATGTATATACAAATGTATATGGGGTTCATAGTCAATGGCTCTTCATTAAAATATAACATGCTAACCTTAACCCTATAGTCACATTTTCCAGTTGCAAAAGTTTCAGTTATGTATTAAATAATTATTACATTATGTAGCACTATTTTTGTTCCTGGGTAGTAAGTGTTATTTCGTAATTGCTTATGCCAAAAAAGTTGAAAAAAAAGGCTATTATTCCCCACAAACTTTGCTTTTGTGACCAGGACAGTGATATTTAGAAATTTACCTATTTTCAATGAGAAAATGGGCGAATGTGTCATTTCGTTTACATAAAGTCAGAAAAAAAAACATGAATCAAAATTAACTTGTATTTTTACTAAAGTAATACGAAAATGACTACAAAATATTCAGAAGTGAGTAGTTTTTCGAGATTTACGATTATACTGTAAATCACTTTCACGAATCAGCCCCCAAATGTAGTCTCCCATCATGTTCTCGTTATACTTTCCTTGGTAGCGGCGTTCAAAGTCCAGTATATCCTGGTGGAAGCACTCGCCTTCCTCCTCCGAGTATGCTCCCATGTTGTACTTGAATTTATCAAGATGAGCATCAAGGATATGGACTTTGAGGGACATCCTACAGCCCATTGTGCCGTAGTTCTTCACCAGAGTTTCAACCAGCTCCACATAGTTTTCGACCTTGTGATTGCCCAGGAAGCCACGAACCACTGCGACAAAGCTGTTGTAAGCCACTTTCTCCTTACTAGTGAGCTTCTTGGGGAATTCATTGCACTCCAGGATCTTCTTTTTCTGCGGTCCGACGAAGACCCTGGCTTTGACCTTTGCCTCAGACAGCTTAGGTAAGAAGTCTTGAAGGTACTTGAAGGCTGCCGACTCCTTATTTACAGCTCTGACATTGTTTCATAAGGCCAAATTTGGTGTGCAGTGGTGGCATCAGCACCTTCTAGGGGTCTATCAGTGGCTCCTACTTGACGTTGTTCCTCCCCACAGAGTACTCGGTCCGCTTTGGCCAGTCCCGCCTGTGGTAGTGTGCCTTGGTGTCCCTACTGTCCCAAAGGCAAATATACCAGGGAAACTTGGTAAAACCGCCTTGGAGACCCATCAGGAATGCCACCATTATGAAGTCTCAGATGACCTTCCAGCCATACTCATCATATTCAAGGCATCCAGCAAGGTCTTGATGCTGTTGTAATCCTCTTTGAGGTGCACCGAGTGAGCCAGGGGAAGAGACAGGTACTTGTTACCATTATGGAGCAGCACGGCTTTGAAGCTCCTGGATGAGCTGTCAATGAAGAGGCGCCACCATTCTGGTTACAAGTGATTCTCATTGCCTCGAACAGACTGGTCACATTGTGGCAGAAGCAGAGCCCATGTTGGCGGGTGAAGAAGCTGCAAAATGGTTGGTGATGCTTCCTCTGATCTGCGACTTGCACACTTTTATCCAACAAGTTCCACTGCTTGAGCCTAGATATCAAAAGCTCTGCATTGGACTTGGTGAGACCAAGATCTCTGATCAAGTCGTTGAGGACTTTTTGGTTGGGGTAGTAAGGATTTCTCTCCTCAGCTCCACCTCTGAAATTGTCATCTCGATCTACAATGTCTTCCTCGCTCTCTGACTTGCTGCTCTCTTCTAAAGAAGGCTGCTCTCTCTCCGGAGGAGTGGGTACGGGGAGCTCATGGCAGTGTGGCACCGGGGCGGTGGATGAAGGAAGGTCCAGATACGTGATAGCAGGTGCATTCTTGCCAGTCATACATTTGGAAGTGTTCACCATGCAGAAGTAGCAGTTGCTTGAGTGGTCAGTGGGTTCCCACCAAATTCTTGGAATAGCGAAATTCATGGCTCTCTTTTCCCCTCTGTACCATCCTACAAAATACATTTATTTCACCCATGACTAATGTGTAAGAGATTCTCGCAACATTTTTCATATATTATAATTTTTTTCAATAACATTGAAAATTGTAAAACATTTTAAAATTTAAAACTTTCACAATTAACATTTTTTTAAACAAATATTATAACATAAAATTCCAAGCAACAATTGTCCATCTTACCTTCCAGAGTTTTTTTGCATTGCTCACAGGTGAAATGAAGTGCCCAGGGTTTGTCTTGATCCCCGGCAGGCATGCCGAAATATGCCTTGTAGGCCTCACACATCTTAGCAGATGCTTCCACAGAGTACTTTTTTGCTCTTGTCTTGATAAATTGGCTGCAGACATAGCAAAATGCGTCTGCCTGATGCTTGCAGCCTCTTGATGCCATCTCAGAAAAAGGCAGATATGTATCCACTTAGGCAGCTGGAACTAAACTGAACTGGTGGACTTAAGGCCCCTGTATTTATATTACTGGAAAGTTCTAGAATGTTCGAGAAGTTACTCCAAGTTTACTCAGCACTGAATCTATCTGTAATGTTCTGGAAAATAGGTAAATTTCTAAATATCACTGTTTTTGTCGCAAAAGCAAAGTTTGTGGGGAATAATAGCCATTTTCTGTACTTTCGAGGCATAGGCAATTAGGAAATAACACTACCCAGGAACAAAAAAATGTTACACAGTGTTATCCATTTTAATTTGACAGGAAAAAATCTGCATGATTTTTTAAATAAAATTGGCTACGTTTTCACATTGCTGTGTATTTGTATGAACAAACAAGAGTAATAGATTGCTATTCAAAGAAGTAATTGCAGCTTGACAGCAACCAATGGACGAGTCACTGAAATAAATTATAATTATTCACGATTCAGAACAGACACATACTGTAAATAGATGTATTTTGTTATCATATTTTCTGTATCGAGCTGTGAATGGTTATTTTACAATGGGACTCTGTATGTTGCATTAGATATGGTTAGTACTTTGACCTTTTCCCAAGGATATAAATCTACTGCTATAATATAAAATGTATGAGCATGGCATGATGCTTCAGTAATGTGGGGTGACCCAATTGAGGCTGCTGTGCATTTTGTGATTGAAGTAATAATTTTACATTTTAGCGCAATGCGTACGTTTTGCAATCTCTTGAGAGCCACAGCGGTAACAAGAAACTGCGCAAATTAAACATGTGTTGTAAACCTCGTGTTCACAGTGCTTGCAAAAGTCCACTCGATCATTTATACTAGCAGGCAGAACAGACGTGGCATGTTGCAAGATTAACTTTTGTGGTAGGTTGCAATAGTCGTACGTATATTGTTCCAATGTATATGGGTGAAAAGGTTATGTAAGGGAATATTAGGATGCTTGGTCAAAGGAGGGCAGTGTACGTTTTACATGCTGATGTGAAGCTCATGTCCTTTGCTTTTTTTTGGTCTCTTTTTCCAACTTGTTCCAATTTGGCGATGGTGTCATGTCATGAGATGAACGGTCCGTTTTTAAATTTTACAGTGTGGCTACCCTGTGTTAGAAAACTGCCTGCATAAAATATTTTCTTACGAAACTTCTAAAACTCCTTCAAATGTCCTTATCCTTTAAACAGCAGGGGGCACACATTCTCAGGATCTCTGCTATAAGATTTTGGCATGACAGTAAAAACGATATTATTTTTCATCCTCACACCTGGAATTATAGATGTTCATGTCATATTAAGTATCTGTAAAAAGATAAATTGTAATGTGTATGACTAATTTAATAGGAGCCGTACAGGTATTGTTATAGCTCAAAATTCCAATTTGTCTGCTGTTCATTACTTCATAATGGTTTGTGTGTGGCCATAACAGGGTATTCAGTAAATCTGCAGCATAAATGTGTATGCATAATACTGCATTATAAAAGTGCTCAAGTCTTGCGTCAAAGTCCTAGCTTGCACGTCTGAAGCGAAATAGTGTACATGCATACGCAATGAGACATTTCAAAATTTTAGTTTTGATTGTTTAAGGCTGGTTAGATATCATGGACATTGAAGACACACAAAAATATGTTGACCTTGTCAGGCAAAGCACTGTTAGAAGCTGTTATGGTAGTACAATTGCTCTGCTACCTTTTTGCCTGTACAGTAGTCCATAGAGCACCAGTATTGACACATCACACCTAGTGTTTATTTTTTCTGGTTGAGTCACCATATCCTGCACAAACAGCTTGGACAAACGTTAGTTCTTCGGAGAAAGTTATACGAGCAAGTGCCTATAAAGCACAAAAGCAACTCCAGGGGGTGGGTGTGACCAACATCTCACACGTACAATTGCTCGTTTCGACACACCACACCAGGTAAACATGTTATGTTGATTGGAAAGGCATGAGGCTCAGGTTGAGTGTAGAAATTATAATGCTGTTGTAAAGTTAATTTACACTGCAGGATGATAGCCTCCTCATGCCATACATGTTAAGGGGATTATTGACAACAATTCACCATGATGGTCAGCTCAGTTGGTGAAGGTGGGGAGCATAGATGTGGGAATACAGTACGATAATCGATTTTTCTACACTTTAACACTGTTGCCCACAACATAAAAATAAATTATATACGGTGGTTGCAGGCTCAATCCTCCTTAGCTTCTGATATCTGGGTGATTTGGTCATTGGCAAATTATATTACGGGTGCAATTGGCATGTCAGCAAGAGACCGTATAAAGTTGGTGGATCACTCTGTCTTGACCGAGCCAATGGAAAATGTCCATAGGCCGAGCTAACCCCAAAGCTTACTCATGT